ACAAGATCATAAGTCAGTTTATTCACCAAACCAACAATCATACCTACAGAGAAACACTAATAAAACAATCACAAATATTATTTGAAATACAAATTTTTAAAATTACCATTTCAGTTAAATGATTCCTCAAAATTATACACTTGGAAGCCAGGCAGTCTTGATGAGAAATGTTTGTTTAACTGATAAAAATCAGCTTCAAGTGAAAGTATTGTTTTCCATCAGAGTTTGTGTCGATGAGTAGCTGATTATGATGCATTTTGAATTGTGTCATTCTGGCTTTTTAACACCTCTCTTGTTCTGTGTTCTTAGTTGGTACTCTAACATTGTGTGTCCATTTGTTTCAGTGCTGTAACTAATTATCAAGTAATTTTTAATGCATAAAATGTCAAAAAAGTAGTAAAACAAATCCTGCAATTAGTCCAGCAAAGCTCAAGCTGACATTTTCTAATTACTTGTTATGAACAATCAGCAAACCCAAGGCCATAGCAGCAAAATAGAACAACAAATCATCACGTTTGAGAGCCAGCAACTGGCATTTGTGCTTGATAAATGACCAAAAGGATCATTCTGACCTATTACATTGCATTACAGCAGCATAATCATATAAGTTTTAAACAAACCAGCCTTATTTGGAAGAGAAAACAAACGTGAATAGCAAAATTATTATCTTAATTATCGCCTTAAAAATCAGTCCCACCTTACTGACTTAATGTTGCACATTTGGCCTTCCTTACTTGCACTAGTGGTGTGCACCCAGGTTTCCTGTGCAATGTATCAGTCACTCATAGACAAAGAAATGTGCCATAAATTGAATGAGTATTCTCAGTATGCATGTAAAATGATGCATTGACCTATCATTAGTTCTTTTAATGCATATCAGGCTGTGCTGTTAAAAATCTGCTGGGCCCCATGATGGGTGACACTGTTCTCTAACACTGACCTTTAAATACTATCCTTACCCAACTCTGCAGCTTGACCTAGCCTCACCAGGGATTGATTCATTTTTTTTGGTCCCACAGGCTTGATAGGCAGCTTCATTTGAATGCTACACCCCCACTGTCGTCCCTGCTAATTTAGTTTCACTACTCTTATAAATATTTACTACATGTAGTTAAATCAGAAAACTTTCATATCATTCTGATGCACTTTAAATCCTAAGCTCCCCTGAGCAAAGAGCAGATACCCAGTGGCTTGACCCAGCCTTATATCTATGCTTAAGGTGGACAAACACTTAACTCCTATGCCAGTTATGAATGGACGTGATGACTAATTGGACCCAGTTCGACTGATTCAGGCCCAGTTTGAGTCAGCTATTGCTGACAGCCTGCAGATAAAATTGTTGTGGTGTATGACATGTAATGACTTCAATTTTAAGTCTTGAGAAGCATTCACTGTCAGTCATTAATGTAAAGATTTTTAAAACCACGTTTAATATTTGCATACTGTACAGTACATGTTGCCTGAAGTAGATGTATTGGTAAATAAAAATGTATTGGTGAAACCCCACTGGGCATCTGAAATTGAAGAAAAACTGACTGAACTGTGGCAGGAGAATGACGGCTCTACAGCACTAAATCAAAGCCACAACAAGACTGATTCATTTCAGTTCCCTCTCAAGGCTCCACAGTTGTCCACAACTTTCTGTCAAGGATCTCACCCAAACTTTGTGCCTATTTCTTTTTCATAATTTTCAGCTCAAACTGAACTGTAAACCATGGATATATATTAACACAGCAAGTCGGTTGTGTCTATATGCATGAGACTTGGTGGCACCTCTCAGGATTTACAGGCTTGTCTACTGCCAGAACTTCCACTTGTTATGTGTGTTGTCTACAGAGTTTACTCAGTCATAAGTTGTGGGCTCCTTCCTAACTGTCAAGGACTAAAAATCTGCGCAAGTTGGTGGAACATTCTCTAAGTATGACCTGTCCACTCTTTGAAATATTCAGCCATTTGTCAAGTGTGTCCCTGCCTTTAGACTAAACTACAGTGGCTGGTCCAGCTGGCTTGACAGACAGCTGAATGCTATGCCCCAGTCAGACATCCAGCCAGTCCAGAGAAAGTGGTTTAGGTAATCTGGTTAAGTGGTTGTCTCGTTTGCCACCTTTCTGATCATCAGGTTGCCTAGTTAATCTTGTTGGACTTTGATGAAATGTAGTGTTATTCTTGTGTTTTTTTTATCCCAACAATATCTTCAATTAATACAATCTTACCATAATGAGCAGAAGCAATGTACAAAGACGCACAAATATAAACCAAATTGTAATAAACCATATAGTTTTATTGCAGGAATACATGATAAATAGACTAACTGTATCATCACACTCTCACAGAGATACAGTGAGAGAGCTCTTTTTAAAATACAGTTTCATCTTCTGTGCTCTTAGCGGTGGAGGAAGGGGGGTTAAACCTGTGTAGGGCATGCTCAATGTGTGTGGCTAGAGCTCAGAGCTTTTTGTTAAACCAGGAGACAAGACTAGAGTCACAAGTTATGGTTTAAACACACACGCAGGGCACTGAAAGTATTTAGGCCACTTCACCATGCCACACTTTTTTGTGTTGTGGATTCTAATGTGATTTTATACATTTTTGCAGATTTATTCTAAATAAAAAACTGCTATTTCTTATTTACCAAAGTATTCAGACTCTTAATTAAGTACTTTATTGTAGAGGTTTGGCAGCAATTACAGCACCTCAAATGTACAGTAAGTCTTTGTGATGTTTGCACACGTGGATTTGGGCAGTTTATCCTGGAAGATCCTCTCAGGTTTCACCAGACCTGATGGGAGTATTTGTGAGCTGCCGTCTTCAGGCCTCTCCACAAATGTTCTCTGGGGTTTAAGCCTGGGCTTTGGCTGAGCCACTCAAAGACAATCAAAAGTGTACTGAAGCAACTCCAGCATTATCTTAGCTGTTGGATCATTGTAGGTTTTCCCAGTTTTAGGTTGTGTGCACTCTGGGCCGTTCTCTCCGTCACTGAGCAGCACTATAGCATGATGCTGCCGACACCAGGCTTCACCTTTGGGATGGTATTAGCCAGGTGATGAGACTGGAGTTCTTTTATCTCCAACTTTTTCCAACTTTTGTATCCTCAAACCAGAAACTTCTTTCCTTATGGTCTCAGTCCTTAAAATGCCGTTGGGAAATGCCAACTAGGCTGCCATACGTTTCTGGCTCAAAGCACTTTCTGTCTAGCCAATAAAGGCCTGATGGACTGAGTGCTGCAGAGATGCTCGTCCTTTGGCAGATTCTCCCATCTCTGCAGACGTCTTCTGAAGCTCCGGTAGAGCAACTGTTGACCCTGACCAAGGTTACTGAGTTTGACAGCCAACTTTAGGAAGAGTCCTGATGTTCCAAACTTCTTTCACTTTGCTCCTGGGAACACTCAAAGCTTTAGAAATGTTTTATACCCTTTCCCTGATCTATGCCTCAGCACAATTTTATCACTCAGGTCTGCAGAGTGTTCTTTGGACTTTATGACTTCATAATGTCATGTTTTTGTCCTGACATGCAGTTTTCTCCCAAGACTCTCCTTGTATACACAGGTGTGTGCCTTTTTAAACGGTGGCCAGCTCATTCAATATGCCACAAATTCAAATTGTAGACACATGTCAAGAAGAATTAAAGCAAACAGGATGCATAAAGCAACTGGTCTGAATATTTTTGTAAATGAGATTTCAGTTTGTGTTTTAATAAATTTCTAATATTAAAATATTCTCATTATGTGATGCTGAGTGTACTGTAGATTGATGGGAAAAATGCCAATTTCTTTAATTTCAAATCAAATTTACAATAAAATAAAGTGTGCAAACACAGACCTACGTCCATATGGGTGGGGATGCCGAGGGCTGACAACTGATTCTCCGTGTGTGGTTATGAGGGCTTTGATGTTTAATGTGTCACGTTCTTTGATGCTCTCTACAGAAGGGCTGTGAGAGGATGTGTGTGCAGACAACAGACAGGAACCTTGTGAGGAAATTTGATGTTTGTGTATCTAGGATTTTCCTCACAAGATACTCTCTGCAGCAGGTATCTTAATCTCTCTCACAAGACTAGAACCGTTTTCGCCTTCTCATTCTCCCCCTGAGCCTTTTCTTATTCTCCCTGCCTCCTCCTCCTCCCCCTCCTCCCCCATCCCTCTCTCTCTCCCCTCTTCTTTCTGGTGGATGGCCTGTGTTGCTGACAATTTGTTGCATCCCAAGGGTGAAACTCAGCTTACACTTTATGCAAACATACATTCTGCTATCATTAGCAACTTATTTCACACTCACTTTGGGTTTCATTCTGTTTAATAGCTGCTTCAGTTTGCCTCTTACTGACCCCACCCCACCCCCTGCAGTGCTGAGACTAATTGATTTAACTGTACATAGCATTATGAATGAATGCTGTAAATTAGGAGCAACAGTTTATAGCAAATATCCTCTGACTTTAGATGAGGCAGTTAAAAAAAAGGGGGGGAGCAGGTCTGTTTTTTTGCTGTTATTGTACCATAGAAATATTATCGGCATTGATGGTTTTTTGCAGTGCCTTTCACAGCACCTTAAAATGCAGTAAGTGTGTCTGTATTTGGCACAGTTAGCTTTTGAAATGAAACACGGTTGTTGTTATACTGACTGCTGAGAGTTTAATGAATCAAACCTGTGAGTTGTGAAGCAGTTATCTCCTACCATTAGGCCCCTTCATTGTCATCAGTCACTCTCTTGCAGTGTAGTCTCACTTGTTGAGTGAATCTCACTCTCTCAATATCTCTCCCTGTTCCTCTGTTTCCTAGTTTCCCTTTCTTCTTGTCGTTTCTCTAACACTCTCACTCCCTCTTATCTCCCTCTGTCTCCCGGTCTGACTCACTGATTGCAAAATTGGAAACAGTTCTTCTAACGCTATCAGGTTTTTGAGTTTTATGTGCACTCACTCATTCCAGCTCTTGTGTTTTTTTCTGCAATTAATTCAGTTGCTCAGACAGATGTGCTGACTGTCTCTGCTGCTGATCTGTGTCGATGCAGGATGAGAAGTCCACGTTCTTCCAGTTCGGCGCAGCACTGCAGCATGAGGCCCAGCTCATGCTTGCTATTATGGAGGAGTACGACTGGCATGTTTTTTCTATCGTCACTTCAAAGTTCCCTGGGTATCAGGAATTCATCAGCACACTGAGGATACATGTGGATCACAGGTAATGAATACACACCCCCACATGTACAGTATACACACACACACACACACACATTCTGTTTTTACTCATAGCCTTTATTTACGGCAGCAGACAAGACTAAGTACCTTGTGTTATTTAATGGTTTCCTGTCACAGCTTTGTGCGCTGGGACCTGCAGAGTGTGGTGACTCTAGATGCTGTAGAAGGCGACCCAAACTCTAAATCACACATTGCCCTCAAGAGGATCCAGAGTCCTGTTATACTGCTATACTGCTCCAAGGATGAGGCTGTGTGAGTGTTTTGTGTATTTCATTTTCTTCTGTTGTTTCTGCCTCTCTGTCATACACTGTCAAATTTAGCAGCAGATCTTTATTAACGGTCCGACTCCACTCCTCAACAGGTATATACTAGAGGAAGCTCGGTCCTTGGGCCTGATAGGAGCTGGTTACATCTGGATCGTGTCCAGTCTCACCACTGGCAACCCAGACTTTACCCCTGAGGTAGTGATGCCCCATATGTAGTCACAGGTGGCTACTTTCGAGTAGTTTGACAAGACAGCAGTGTTTCTGATTCCAGACTGTTGCAGGTCATCTGCTACCTCTCCTGTGGTTCTTCTCTCTTTAATTTTCTGCAGCTAATAAAAGAACACATTAAAGCAACAGTCTGGCATTTTAAGAAATATCTGATATCTGCTTCTTAAATTTGAAGCTACTGCCATCACTTAGCTACAGTTAGCTTAGTATGAAGAAATCTCTTCTGTAAAATTGCCTATTATGGTTTTTACACTCAGATTTTTGTACAGATTAAACAATGTACTATAGCAGTGTGTTATATTGCAATCTGATACAAGTCTACTTTAATGATGTCTATACTGTTCAGTTTTTTGGCACTGTCAGAGGTGTGCTAATTCAATTTTGTGGTTTAGCATTGAGGCTGTAGTTAATGGTGGTGATGTGTTTGGCTTGCATTATGTTGAGAGCTGTTTCTAATTACTCTACCTCCCTAAAGAATGTAAATGGGAAAGGCAAAATATAAAAACACTTCTCAACATAATGTAGTCCAGTACAGCATCACATTTAAATATGACCTCAGCAGTAAAACTAAAACTGAATTTACACAGTTCAGACAGTGACAACAAAACTTTGTAAATACTAATTTTTTTTTTGGCAGAGTGTTTGTATTACATTTTGAATAAGAGGTGTACCTAATTAACTGAGCGTGGGATGTATTAGTGAGCGTCGTAGGTGCTGGTACGTGGCTAGCTGTGTCTCCCAGTTTCCAGTCTTTGTGCTAACTAGCTTTGCTAACTAGCTGCTGACTAGCATAATATTCATCTTGGTGACATGAGAGTGGTTTTGAACTTCTCATCTAACTCTAGGGCAGAAATGAATAACCAATATTTGCTAAAATATTAAACTGTTCTTTTGAGCCATAAGCCTAAGGCAGTATAGTGACAAATCACTGTGATGGGAAAACATCTTTTAGTTTGGTGAATCTTGCAGTTCTCAAACTACTTTGTTTACATTTCCTCTTTACCTAGCAGCATTTGCTCAGGCCCTCAATAAGATGTTTGACAGCATCACAGTCAAAATGTAGGACAGTAATGTAGCTATTATCTAAATCGCATATAAATTAAATATGTGTATAAATAATTCAAAAGTGTAATTGCCTCAAATGACACCCTCACATGGAACCATTCATTGTTTGTTTACCTTTTCTCAAAATCCGATTAATCTCCTTCGCCTGTCACTCATCCTCCTCGATTCAACCTTACCACTTCTGTTGGGTTTATATGCCTCAGTTTTCCTAGACAAAAATCTGATTCTACACATTATTATGCAAAAACAAAGTGGTGTTGATAGACTGACAGACTACCACGCGGGATTGTTTTGATGTTTGCTTACTTTGGTTTACAGAGAGATTTTGACAGTAGGCAGTACCTGAATGAGGAATTGAGTTTGTGGACATACTCTGCTCACACTTCTATAACAGCCAGATATGAATAATTTCAGGAAGGCACCAATAAATCATCAGTTTGACACCTTTGAGAGAGAGTTTTTAAACAATCACACTGAAGTCAGATGAATCGTACACACCATATGGGCCACCTCTCTTCTCCTCTCAGATGTTTCCCCTGGGGATGATCTCTGTGTCCTATGATGACTGGGAGTACCCACTGGAGACGCGGGTGCGGGATGGGGTGGGCATCATCTCCGCTGCTGCCACCTCCATGCTGCGGGAGAAGGGGGAGCTGCCTGAGGCCCAGAGCAGCTGCTACAGCACACCGTCAGACAGGAGCCCGGGGAAGCTCCCACCTAGTGCCCTGCGCAGGTGTGTATATTTGTGCATGTGTGAGGTGATCAAGGTCTAGAGACTTGTATAACTCAGTTTGTCTTTGTAGAAGAGTGTTGAGCAGCCTTACAAAGCTCTTTTTAATGTATTAATGGGAGAGGTGCTGTAGAAGAGAGAAAGGCAGCAGTGTTGAACATTGACGTCTAATGACATTTAACACTACAAGCAGTTGTGTACACGGTTGCTTGATGTATGAGTTTATTCTGCTGCCTCAGTCAAGAGACAAAGAGCTGAACTCCTGGCTGACCTCCATGTTGTTGCTGCCCTGCATTAACCAGACCCTGCTTCAGTATGTGTGTGGTGTGCGTGTTCATTTGTATTTCTGTGCATGTGCAGCTTGCTTCACACAGCTGAACTTACTTTCATTAAGTCAGGATTAAAGCAGCTTTTACTAGCTTTGTTTTCCCTCTCGTTTCTTGTTATTGGCTGTGTGTGTGTGTGTGTGTTGTTCAGTGTGTGTGCACATGCACAGGCGCATACCAAAATGTGTGTACTGTTCTCTGAAGCCCCGGTCATGAGGACACAGTTACATCTTTGTGCTGTAACCTGGATGCTTGCAGACACACATTCAAGCACATTCATACTGAACACAGACACATTTTAAACCACACATAGCAAATCCCTCATTGTTATTGCTTGGTGTCATTTTTAGTGCGATATTATGATGACATTTTTAATGAGATGCATGCACTGGCTAAAATATAATTATTAATTCAGAAATCTATATAACACTGACAAAAACATGAAGGTCAGGTTGTGAGGTTATGCACATCTATGACAGCTTATGAGTTCCCTTATTAGAATGAGAACCCTATTCAGATTTTCACTTTTATGGGTTTATTATACAGTTGTTGTTTTTTTTTCATATTAGCCCGTCACATTGAATATCAAAGCATCTACAATACTGCTGTTGTTTACAGGTTGATTCAGTAAAACTCAGACCTTAATAGGAGCACAAGCCTTTTTCCCCACAGAAGCCTTTGTCTTTCAGTCAGAGGTTCCTCGTTTGTCTCACGGACCTATTACAGAGAATTTATATATTAGTCATAACAACTCCAGCCAGTCTTTGTGATAATAAACTGACGGGTTGGAGTTCCCTACCCTGATTTGGAAGTAGTGGGGCTGTGATCAGAATTCTGCATACATTAGTCAAGATACAATCTTGCCGCAGTGTGCATATAAACAGTGTGAGGTGGAGACTAACTGTACAACATAATCTGGCACTATCAACATTACCGACCTTGTTGGATTCCCTGTCATTTTTGTCTGACAGGAATTAACATCTGAAACTCTGGTTCAGTGGGTTTGGACTCCACAATGGTACAGGTCTTAATGAGGGCTGTTCTTGTACATTTCAAAAGGTTATTCTATTTGATGGAACCACTGTAGCATGCAAACCCCTAAACTGTTTCTTTTGTAGACAAACTGTTCTCTGACATAATTCGAAATTTGGAAAGAGCCTTTTAGAAAAGTGCTCACACAATGGCGATCCAAGTAATAGAAAAATGTTCCACACATAGGAAGACCCACATTTTAAAGATGCTATTTACAGGAGTCTGACAAATTCCTGTGTTGCAGCTGATGCTGATACTTAAACCCTTATTGAATTTCTACTTAATGCAAATAATTTTTCATACAATTTAGAAGTTAATGAATGTTGCTGTACATTTTGCTTTAAAAGCATCAGATGTGATCACACAATGACATGATATACATGCTCATATAAGTATGAATGTATAAAGTTGAATCTGCATGTTTCTTACAAACACACCAGCCTGACTGGCTTAGATGAAAATCTTTTTCCAAAAAATGGTAACAAACCTGAAACAGGAGACAGCAGTTTCCCAGGTTAGACAGCAGCAGTGTTTCTGCTGTATGTATTCAGCTGTGGTGATGCACTTTGACAAGGGCATCACCTGCTGCTCCATGAAGATTCTTCAAACACAAAAATGTCTTGACAGGTCACTAATAAGGCAATGGATGGTTCAGTTATGTAGCACAGAAGTGGCTCTTTTGTGTAATTTTTACAGGTTAATATTTAATCATGGGTGTTTCCTGAAAGCTGAGCTGTTTGGTATTTTTGCAGCGTCTGCATGCGAGGGAGACAGGGACCTTTTATATACTCTTTACTCAGTGTGAGTGGAGCCTGCTTTGAAAGAGGCCTGTTTCCAAGTCTTTGTAAAAACACACGATTAATTTTTCGCTTTGTAATCCACTGTCCGACAACAATATTTATATGTTGACTCTAATACCTCTTCTGCACAGCCAACATAGAGTCACACCTGTTTGGACTGAGTGTAATTATCATAGTTTTCACCTGGAGGGTGCACTAAACAGCACTCAAGTGATTCTCTTTATGTCAAAACATTTCAGTTTATGCATGAATCCTTCTTGGCCCTGTGCCCTGTCCTGTTTACAGAGGTGGAAAGTAACTAAGTACATTTACTCAAGTACTGTACTTAAGCACAGTTTTGAATTATCTGTTCTTGAGTATTTTCATTTTCTGCTACTACATACTTCTACATTTCTGAGAAAAATATTGTACTTTGTACTCATAGCATTTATTTGATAACTTTAGTTACTAGTTACTTTTCAGAAAGAGGTTAATTAAACAAAATACAGTATAATCACAAGATTTATTGATCTTTGGCGTAAAATTCAGAGGTTACCCTGCAGTAATTCAAATTATAGGCATATAGTAATTTAGTTAAAATTACCTCCACTTTTACCAGCTGCAACATTAAATGTGATGTACACAATAATACATCAATAGTTATAATTAAATAATATGACGTACATCAGTGTGAACTGTAACATTTTGCCTAATCAGTACCTTTGCTTTTGGTTTTGTAACATTTTGAATGCAAGACTTTTATTTGTAACAGAGTTGAATAATGAAGCTGCAAATCTGTGACTACCTAAAGCATCATTTCAATGCTTCCTTTAAATTTGTTCAGATAGACAATAGTGAAGAAAAGAATTGTCTATACATGTGAAAATTTGAGCTGTTACAAATTCATAAATGTCCGTAAAGCAGATGTAAAGCTGGCTTTTGGAATATTTAGTTTTAGTCAGATGATGCTTCAGTTGTCAAGACATGCACCCAACCGTGTTTGACACAGTGTCAGAATGAATCAAACTATTTCTAATAAAACAGAACACAAGGTTTTGAAGAATAAGTGTTGTCTGTTTTGGGCAGCTGCTGTCCCTGTTGTGACTTTTTAGTAAATTTCCTTAGACAGCCCACATTTCCCCCTGTGGGAATTCATGCCATCATCCCAGTCCTAACACTCAAACATCCTCGCCTTCTTAAAATTGGTTTACTGGAGTGAATGTATTCTTAATCCCATTTCACTGTGTGTGATACTGGTTCATTTACTGCTCTCTACTGCTTCACTTTAGCGAGTGTAAATGTTTCAGCAAAGGGTCTGTTTGCGTATGCAGGATGACTGTAGTGAGTAAGAGAATGAGGGCAGCCTTGTTGCACCAGTGACTTGTCTTTCAGGCATATATCTGTGGAGAAATCAATGCTGAATGTTGATGGGAGAGAGATCAAATCAAATCAAATCAAATTTTATTTGTATAGCGCCAAATCACAACAAAAGTCATCTCAGGACACTTTACAAAGTAAGGTCTAGACCTTACTGTTATCAATATTATTACATAGGGAAAACCCAACAAATCCCCCTTGAGCAAGCACTTGGCGACAGTGGGGAGGAAAAACTCCCTTTAACAGAAGAAACCTCCAACAGACCCCGGCTCTTGGTGGGCGGCCTTCTGACTCTTTCGCCTCCAACACACCAGCAGATGCGGATGCACACACATACACACACACTACATGCACACTCAGGCGTGCATGCACACAGTGGATGCAGACAGCATCTTGCAGTGATTACTGAGTGCTTAATTTGTTATTTGAAATGTATCTGCTCCTATGCTCAGATATACCCAAACACTAACAGATGCAAAACAAAAGCAAATAAGACCTGCTTCTCTTTTTTCCCCATGTGTTTCAGACACATGATGCATGTGTGGAATGAAGGGCGAGATCTGTCGTTCAATCCAAATGGTTACCAGGCCAACCCCAAATTGGTTGTCATCGTCCTGAATAGTGAAAGGAAGTGGGAGAAGGTAACAAATCAATACACTGGTTTTGCAAATGAAACACTTTAATAAAAATGATTGTTCCTGAGTTTGTGTGTGTTTGCGTGCAAACAGATGGGCCGCTGGGAAAACGCGACGTTGTCGTTGATGTTCCCTGTGTGGCCGAGGTATAACTCCTATGGGGATGAGGACGCAGATGAAAACCATCTCTCTATTGTCACTCTGGAAGAAAAACCTTTCGTCATTGTCGACAATGTGGACATCCTCACTGGCACCTGCATGAGAAACTCTGTGCCCTGCCGCAAACATATCAAGGAGTGAGTACCCACACACTCACTGGGTTGGTGAAACAGTACACCCACATTTACTGCAGCTGCCTACCCACTCACATGAAACTAAGACCCATCTCAAAGCCACACTTGTTTCAAGGTACCACAAAAGACTTGCACTCCCTGAACTGGAATCGTTGCAGGCACTTGTTTGTTCATAGAATAAGCCAGGTAGAGGTATTGTTTATTGAGATTAGAAAAGCATTTGGCACTCTCAATTAGTTTTGCTGTAATCAGTCTATTTTTACTTTTGCCATTCTTTCTTACATGACTAGAATCACACCTCTCAAGCTGGTCTCAATCTGTCTGAGAACATAATTGTCAATCAGCTGCCCTTTGCTTTTCCACTTTTGTTCTACAAGGATCTACACTGGGCCCACTCAGTTTTACTTTACATAATAATGACTCATCTGTTTCTCCTCAAGACTGAAATCCAAATGTGCACATGGTGGTACTGAGATACCAGTTGATGATAAATTCATACACTTTATGGACCATTTTACAACATAGTTGTAAATATATTCATATAATTTACCAAGACACACAGTGTTTGTGTAGTCCCAGACGTTTGCATCAGGAAAAACGTCTGTGTATTTGTACTGACTGTTGCTAACCACGATGAGTATGTACATCACTGATTTTCCTGCACGTTTTTTACTATTTTGCATTGTCAGTGTCAGAGCAGTCGAGCTCTATCCCAACTCCTGTCAGAGAGTTTAACACAAACACAGTAGTTTTCTTTTGGTTCATACATAATCAGTTCTGTCAGCATTAATATTTAATCGCTCTGTGTTGCTGTCAGCTTGTTAATACCAATCTGTTGGTCGACTTGAGTTTTGTTTCTGCTACCACTGTAATTGCGTGTTGTCTGTTGTGGTTTTTATTTCTTTGTTCCATTAAATCGGTGACATCTGTGTGTTTTAGTACTGAATGTGTGGCTTGGTTTAAATATTGCAATTATTAATTGTAATATAGCTAATTGTTCCCCTTTGTAGTGCATATTTTCTGTGAACATTAACATTCATCTCTTTAACATTCTGCATGCTTGTATGATATTTCAAAGTTTCGATTTTTTTAATCCTTATTTTTTAAATCTTAAAGAACCTGAACTATTTAAGATGTGGCCATGGATGAAAAGGGACTTTAAGGATTTGAACTTTGTAAGCAGTGAAAAGTGTGGGAATGTCACATATTTCACATTTTACCAGAATGTTTTTGTTTCAGTTCAAGTGATCAAAACTGGTCAATGAAATCTGAGCAACATGAATATAGTTTTTTAAAGTATTGGACACTTTTCTGTTTGAAGTTGTTCAGTACTGAAATACTTAGAAATTAAGTTTTGAACGATTAACCGATTAGTCAACTGACAGAAAAATAATCAACAGTTATTTTGACAGTTGAATAAGTGTTAGTCATTCTTTAAGCCAAAATGCCAAACATCATTTATTTCAAATTGTTAGTTGAGGTTTTAGACAGTTTGCTCAGGTAAAACAAGCTATTTAAAGATGTCACCTTTGGAAATGGTGACAGGCGCTTTTCATTTATTTTTATTTTCCAACATTTTACAGGTGAAACAATGAATTGATTATAAATAGCTGTAAGATTGGATATCCGAAATCATTAGTTGCAGCCCTAAATTGTGCAACTTTAAATATTTTATTTGTAATTTCTCAGAAGTGACTTCTAATCACACATTTAAATAGCTGGTTTTAATGTAAAAATAAATAAAAATCATTACTTTAAATTCATTGTTAAACTATGAACAAACTAATCATTTAGTTGCTTGTAAGGTTCACATATTTCTGGCCTTTCCTGTCTTCCATACCAGAAATGAAACTTTAAGCTCACTCTGGCACATTTAAACTTTAAGAAACACAAAGTGTAAATAAATAAATCCCAGCCAGAATCCTCCGTACCTAGAGACAGAAAATGAAAAGATGTTTCATGTGGGACTCTGCCCAGCCTTTTGTCATGGCTCATCTGGATGTACTTCTGCAACTCCCATTGTAAAGTATTCTATTCAGCAGCTACAAACCATCAACAATACTGCAGCCTTGCCTGTCTTCAGCCTCCCTATGTTCTCTTTTGTCGCCTCCCTGTGCTCCCCACCTCCTTCCCTGTTGGCTGCCTGTGGCTCTTCACATCAAATTCTGAATTCTGGTCTTGGCATTCAAGTCCCCCTGGAGAGTTGCATGCCCATATCTGCAGGCTACGGTCTAGCTGTATTCACTAGCCTGCGCTCTGCTATAACCGGTCACTTAGCTGTCCCGGCGGCATGGCATCATAATTCCACCTGGCTTTGGTTCTTCTTTCTACTGCTCCCCAATAGTGAAACATCCTCCTCTCTC